TTGGGCAGAGTTTAAAATGTCTATCTGCTCCTTAGTAATGCCTGGAAAGCAATTAGAAAACAGATAATTATCTACTTTGGAAGTAAAGCAAAACATGCCACAATTAAGGCCCTGAGGCTCAAGAGATTTTTACTCATAGCCACCTCCCTTATTATATAGCATTGGTGTAATTAACACTGTTAGGGCAGTAAATTTACAGTACCTTTTCAAATAGAAATATAAGAACTAGTAATGCTGTACGTAATAAAAAGAATTAGGTTCAGCAAAAGTACACTTTGCACAGTCTTTATGGTATCAGCGGAGAGCTGATACAAAACAAAGGATCAATACAAATACAGTATACTATATTTTTTCTTAAGTTAAATTGTTCTACAATAAAAAGGTTGAAAAACATTTAAACAAACTTTATCATGTTTCCCATGCAGCTGCATAAAAGAAAACAAAAGTGATTTAACTCCTAAATGGAAGTGAATTGACCAGTGAAACTTCAGAGGCATGATCTGTACACAAAAATTGTAAGGTAAAGTTGTTTTGGTGGCTATAGTGCCCCTTTAAAGGACCACAATAGGCACCCAGACCACTTCAGCTTAATAAAGTGGTCTGGGTGCCAGGTCCAACTAGGATTAACTCCTTTTTGTATAAACATAGCGCTTTCAGAGAAACTGCTATGTTTATATTAGGGTTAATCCAGCCTCTAGTGGCTGTCTTTCGGACAGCCACTAGAGGTGCATCTGCGATGCAGGAGGCATATTATGCCTCCATCGCTCAGAGCGTCCATAGGAAAGCATTGAGAAATGACAGCTTGAATGTCTCCCTGACAGCTGCTAGAGGCGCTTGCGTGCTTCTCACTGTGAAAATCACAGTGAGAAGACGCCAGCGTCCATAGGAAAGCATTGTGAATGCTTTCCTATGAGACTGGCTGAATGCGCGCGCGGCTCTTTCCGCGCATGCACATTCAGCCGAGGCGGCGGAGAGTTCCCTGCCCGGCGCTGGAGAAAGAGGTAAGTTTAACCCCTTCCACCCCCTAGAGCCCGGCGGGAGGGGGACCCTGAGGGTGGTGGCATGCTCAGGGCACTATAGTGCCAGGAAAACGAGTATGTTTTCCTGGCACTATAGTGGTCCTTTAACTGTCTGCATAAACTGCTACTAACACAATAGCGTGCAGAATACATTACATTCTTTGAAACTTTGGTTGTGAATCAGTTATGTTGTGTGTACCCCCTGGGGTTTTATGAGAATGCAAAGAAGTTATAGTTGTACAACAGCTTAGGATCTGTGTTTGGCTTTTTATACTAAAACCTGCTGAGATTTGATCTAAAACACACTACAAAACATTTGTGACAGAATAGATACATAGCTCTATAGGCAGCATACTGTGTACAGCCAACATGCATGCACATATCACAATATAGCCTGCAGCTTAGACCCGATTCTGGTTACAACCAAGCAATGCAAAAAAGCAACAGCAGTTCAAACAGCAACATGGAATTTATATTCCTCCCCTTAAGGGACATTATAGTACGATAGACCACACAAATCCTGAGAAACCTGTATTTGGTGTCCTAAACATTACTAATAAGGATTAGTACATTTAAAACGGATGTGTAAATACAGCAGCAAACAATAATGATAAGTTCCATAAAGGGGGTGCCATAACCCAGGCAAACGGTTTGTTGAAATTACTAGAATACACACCAAAATCTACTCAGAAATAACAGAGCATTAAAACATCATTCGCTAAATTGTGATTTTTGGAGATGGATTTAACACAAGAAATTGAACTCATCAAGTTCTCATCTACATTGCAACACGGAGTTATGTGTGTGTATGTATACACACACACACACACACACACTTTACTGGTTACAGTGCAATAAGTGCCCTGCCACCCCCACTGTAAGTAGTCAAATCGTTTTAGAGCAGCTCGACTTCTTACTTTTGGTCCGCTGGGCACCGCATCCCGCCTCCACTAATTCCAACAGAGAAACGAAAGCTCCTGTTGAGAAGCCTCCATTTTAAGCTCTGCATGCAGGGCTAACACATTGTCTAAAAGTGTCAACTGATGAATTTCTGTCAACGAGCTATAAAGAATTAAATAACTAAGTAATCATTGAGGATTTCATTGAATTCTACATAAGGCATAAAGTGATATAAGTCTAGAAAACATGCTCGATTTGGTAATCCTATCTTACACAGTGTTTATGCATGTATACGCTTGCTTCAAAATTCCCTCACTCGGATGTAAAATTTCTATACCACACTGGAATTAGAATTTACATTCACAGATTTGCAGATTACAATTTAACGGACTAACTTATTCGCGAAAGTGAGAATTATAAGTGAATGCCAAATGTTAATCTCATAATAACAAACTGAAAACAAAATAATTTTTTGAATTGGAGATTTTTTTTCCAACTCTGCTTATTTTTCCAAAAAAGTGAATTGCTATGAATTAAAAAAGAAATTCATAAGTTAGCAACCTTTAACTCAGAAGACGAAATCAGCTCCTGAATGTGCTTAATGAAGAGATTACTATGCATCTGACAACATAACTCCAACGTAACAAACCTTAAACCAAATCCTATAAACAACTTACCAAGGACAGTAATGCTAAAAAAAACCCATGGAAAAAAAAGTCGCTATCTAAACACTGCGATAGAGAGCTGTTGTGGTTATGGTGCCAGAAGTTCCCCCACATCAGCCGCAGAAAGGAATCAAACGGTTTGCTATAGCTAAAGAGAAATGAGAACTTTCTCCTCAGCTGTATAGAGAAGGTCACAATGATTGCAAAGGCGACCCAGGTACACGCTGAAGCATCTCAAATTCTTTGGCTACTTAAAATGGACAGTGTTAGGAGACTGCAGGTACCATAACCACTACAGCAATGTGGAAATTTGAAAACAATTTTACACCCTGTATTGTCAAAAAAGTAGAAGAAAAAGAAAAAAAGAAATGGTGTTCATCCCGAACAAACATCAAAGAATTCCTTTTTTTTTTTTCAACTTTCCCTTTATAACAACAAATGGAACTGTTTGGTTGATGATCTTAGAGATTCTACCCCCTAGTACAGGGCTGTTAAAATAGTTGTCAATAAGGAGGTATTTTCTGAATGTGTCAAGTTTCACACAAATACAAACCCAAGAGCATATAACAGGAGTATAATCAGCACAAATGTGTGCAACGCCCCATCAGCACCATTTATAAACAAATGTTTAATTTATTAACAAACACATAATGGCCAGTTTTCTTAAGTCTAAAATTTGTCAAAATGTACCCAAGGTGGCTTTATTTGTGGATTTGAACTGATACCCACATAGTGCTGGTTTCACTGGTAACAGGTAAGGGTTGTTTAACTCAACATGATTGCACCAACAAGACCCTTTCAAGAGTAACTACAGGATCAAACCCACATTGATTATTGAGAAATGTGATGTATACCCAGATGTATTCAGCCCAATTACAGTTTGGAGTGCTCAGATATTTCCTGCATTAGCAGGCACAGATGAACTGGACCCAAGATCATGAACAGAATATAAACACAAGGAGTTAACCAACACTTTCTACAAATAGGATAAGAAGACCAGCTTAGCAACCGATAAACCACTAACCAAGGTCTTTATATTGGAATAACAACAACAAAAATATAGAAATAAAACCCACAGCCACGCAGAGGGGAGGCCGGAAAAATGTCAGCTTGTTGTTAAATTAGCAAACAGCCCATAGCATTACAACACAAACAGAGCAGTGCTTAGTACCATGCAGTTATGTTGATACAGTTCAGGACTGGACAAACTCTGGGAGCCAGATCAAAATAGCCCAGGGAATAATATGTAATAGAGCAGCTGTATCTGTTACTGCTTGTTACCAGCACAGTAGATACGGACAGCGGGCAACATTTAAAGATGCAGAGTGACGCACCTATTACGTAGTGGCTGCCTCCTAGCCCCATCCCCTGCAACTGTGAGGTTTCACCTTCTCCACTCAAAGGAGAAAGGAGTTATGATAAATGGTCAGTTAGCCAGTACTGAATAGGTGCTACTCCCTATATTTGGAGAGTGGCTCATGGGAAACGAGATTAGATGATACATGTGATCTGAGTAGTTTGGGATGACTCCTGTGATAATTTGGGCTATAAAACAGAGCATCCTAGCATAGCCATTTCAGTTTAATTTTTGTTGTGGTTTGTTTTTTTAGGTGTTTTTAGGGGAGAGTGGGGTTTTTTTTTGTGTTACATTTCCAGCAAGAATACAGTTTTATGACAAATAATATCTCCAAACAGCATTATTAAGTAAGACTTACATTAGCGTTTTATGGATTGTCAATGGAATATCCGTGGACAGAAGGCCCAGCGACCAAAATATGCAGCTGTGTCTGGATAAGAAAGAAAAACAGACATGATTGTTAAAATTCAAAGAAACTTTCAAAAAAATGTTTAGGAAAAAGAAGCCTTGAATGTACATATGGTGCAATGACATATGATGTATTTTTGGTGATTACACATTCTGGTTATTTTAAAGAGACATTTTCACTAAAACAACAGTAACTTTCAAGATGACGAGCATTTGCCAACTTATTAATTCACTAAATGCAATTTGCAATTGTTTTAAAAATTGCACTATTTTCATATAAAGATAGACAATATGGGGGGCGGGGCCTGGCCGCCGGTCGGATCAGACACGCTTTGTCTGAGCTCCTGCCTCGGAGCTGGGAAAAATCAGAGCTAACCGCGGGCCATGAGCAAAGACCAACCTGAAACTGCGATCACATCACCACCCAAGCGATGGTGATTCAGGGGATACCCAATAGGATCCCCAAAGGCACCAAAGTCACCCGATGAAGGCCTGAGCTCAGGTGGGACGGCCACTCACCCAGTTCTCCGGCCGGCGGTCTGCCACCCCCCCCTTTTGGGCCAGGGGGATCATCCCGGTCCCCATGGGCGACCACCACTGCACATCACAACATTTCCACTCCCGTCAAGTGCACTGCGGAACGGGCGGAGTGCACCAAGATGGCCGACCAACAGCTACTCGACATAACCACCAAGCAGCGCACAAGTGAGTCTGGCTGTTACCTCGTGGCGGAGAACTGCTGCGGCTCCCTCACCAAGCCATACGCCCAACAGGTGACATCCATACTAAAGGCGGAGGTGAGTGCGGAGATAGAGGGAGCGGGGGAAGAACAAGACCTCCCTGGGCACTCTTTCTCAGGCAACGATGCTGGCACACATAATGGGCCCACCTGGGCTGAAGACCGCCGAGGATGGAATCCCAGAGCACCGACCGCCTATGCTGGAAATACGACGCCACAAGCGGCGATCAACAACCAGGACCCACAGCAGCCACCCACAGGGGAAGAACTCTGCCTCCCACGTGAGTTGCAGGCCTTCACGCAAGCCCGTGGCTACAGGGAGGACTTGACAAGACCCTGCCCCGCGTCCCCGCGCACCTGAACCCGAGATGAGGCACGGGCTGGGCCGGGACTTTACACCCTAAAAGCACAGAAAGATGGTGGGTCTACCCACACGCTGGACTAAGCATTTGCACTGTAAGGCCAAGCTGTCTTCCCGTTCTGGTGTGGGTAGCCGCATGGAGGGTTCCACTCATTACGATGTGGTTAATTGTTATGTTAGGCACCCGGCGAGTTTTAGCAGCTTACTCACTCGCATCACAGCTAGCCTGCAGTCTAATTTTGCCACACACACTCCACATAGCCTGCACAAAGCCAGTTAGACAGGCCAGAAGCTTTGCATGTTATTTTAAGAAATAAAATGTTTCAACTCACATTTTCTCTAAATGTGTCGAAACTGTTGATCCTGCAGTTAAATGTCTATGCATGTTGCCCACCCATCTAAATGTGAAACGTAAGCCTATATGTAAACTTAGTCTAACATGCTTATCACTACTGATGTTTAACAGCCACTAATCACTAGTATGTACTCACTGTATATTTACTGTCTCTAGCTTGATGACCATAAAGTGAACCGCCGCAAGAGACATACAAAGTTACACTTTAACAAACTAAAAAAATTGTGCCATTCTCTGAATGCCATGCAATACAAACCTGTACTTGTTTTCAAATTGCCTGTAACTGCTGTCGTGGCATTGCAAGCATACCTATGTTATTTCGTGCACAACAAAAATAAAGAATTAAAACAAAAAAAAAAGACAATATGTGGCTAAAGGCAAAGCTTCAAAAAGTCTCTCACAACAGCTTATGAGAACATGCATCTCGCAGTACAAAAGCATGAAGACCTCTGGAAGGATCACACAGTATCTACCATAGACCCCTGTTAAGCACTCTTGCACATGCATGATACTACACTATGGCTGTTTTCTCTAGACAGCTTCATTTGCCAGGAGCTAAAGTAGAAAATGGCAGCACTGAGGATGGAAATACTTTTAGATACTTACAATACAAACAGGCACCTTTTATAATAGAAGTTTTTCTGCCAAGAAGCTCTGCACTGGAAGCATACCAATATGCATTTTAAATAAATCTTGATTCTATATACTTGCTTGCTACTTAGCACACTATGCATTAAAGCAGGCTTCCCCAAAATCCTTTCCTCCAGATGTTGCTGAACTACAACTCCCATGATTCTATGAATAGACTGAGAATCATGGGAGTTGTAGTTCAGCAACATCTGGAGGAAAGGAGTTTGGGGAAGCCTGCATTAAAACATGAGCACTACAAAATAAGACCATCATGTTTGTCATGACATAGCGCATTTAACATATGGTAGTTTATTTAAATTACAGTACCGTGTGATCACATATATTGTTACCTTAACGCACATTTCATGTATTCATTAATATCAGGTAGTAAGGCTAGCATCTATAGTAGTGGCACTTTGGTGTATCTCAAGCCACCTTAAAGTGTGCCAAAAATATTGAAAGTCCCAGATGCCAAATTGAAATTAACAATTTAATTTGGCAAGTAAAAAGAAAAGAAAATGTCCCTTGGTCCAAAAAAAAAAAAAAAAGGGTTGGGATCCACTGATCTACAAAACAGTAAAAAGTCCTATGACAAATGTGTAAAGTGCCTCTCATATCTTATTGGAGTGATATGGAATGCTAAAAATAAGAGTATTGTGTGTTAGAACAGACTTCTACTGTGTTCAATGAAAAGGTTAACCCTGATGGAAGATAAGAACAGGAGGCAATACATGCATTCACATGTGCATGGCTTGAATAAAAAGCTAGGTGGGGAGGCCTGTGAGGCTTCAGAAAACCAATAATAGAGACCCCCTAGGAAGGGGGAATAAGTGCAGGATGGGGTACATGGGGGGAGGAGAACACAAGCAGTCTGAGGTGTCTGGTAGAGAGAGGGGCACATGGGGGGTGAACACACGAGGAGGCAGTCCCCATTCCCTGTAAATATACAGCAGCAGCCCCCTAGGCCCCACATGACTCCCTAGCCGGGGGCTCACACAAAACAACGTGCAGTGTCTGCATGAGCCCTGGGGGGCAAGCTCCCAGAACTGTGGTAGAGGAAGCCTAAATCTGCACATGTAACTGTCCCATGGACTGGGGGGGCCATCCATCAGATAACAGGGAGCTACCCATCTCTCAGATAACAGGGAGCGAGCCAGGACCGGATACAGATACCGATCTCTCATAACAGGGTGCTAGCCAAGCCAGGGTACAGCTAGCCATCTCTCAGATAACAGAGAGCTAGCCATGCCCGGGTACAGCTAGCCATCTCTCAGATAACAGGGAACTAGCCATGCCCGGGTACAGCTAGCCATCTCTCAGATAACAGGGAGCTAGCCAGGCCCGGGTACAGCTAGCCATCTCTCAGATAACAGGGAACTAGCCATGCCCGGGTACAGCTAGCCAGGCCAGGGTACAGCTAGCCATCTCTCAGATAACAGGGAGCTAGCCAAGCCCGGGTACAGCTAGCCATCTCTCAGATAACAGGGAGCGAGCCAGGACCGGATACAGATACCGATCTCTCATAACAGGGTGCTAGCCAAGCCCGGGTACAGCTAGCCATCTCTCAGATAACAGGGTGCTAGCCAAGCCCGTGTACAGCTAGCCATCTCTCAGATAACAGGGAGCGAGCCAGGACCGGATACAGATACCGATCTCTCATAACAGGGTGCTAGCCAAGCCCGGGTACAGCTAGCCATCTCTCAGATAACAGGGTGCTAGCCAAGCCCGTGTACAGCTAGCCATCTCTCAGATAAC